ATCTGACAAATTATAATAAAAAATTAATAATTTTGTATAATATAAATTTTAATTATGGATGCTGTCATATTAATTAAGCGGGAAGGCTCATAGAATTCTTGTTTTAATTCACGAGGTGCAACAGCTACGGTAAATTACAAAACGTTGTACCGTGAAAAGAAAGGATTTCTTGTGTAAAAATCTTGCACCCTAAACGACGGAGAAGTAATGAATTATACTGAAAGTTGCCTAATAAGTGTGCTCATTCATGTGCATAATCATGCAATTAGTTTGATTGCTCGGAGGTAAAGTTTTTTAATAATACGTAGTCGCTTGCGAAGTTCCGCAAGGCAAATACGTTATGGAAACACGCCGTAGGGTCCGTGCGAGTTAGTTACGCAAGAAAATCTCGCGCCATAAAGATTTTTACGGGTGCATCTTACGTGTCTCGCTCGGTGCTCTGATACTCGTTTGCTCACCGACCCTGACCGCAACTTACGCGGTAATACGATCAAACATCGCGAAAGATCGTAAACCTCGATGAACACTAAAGAACATTATTATATTGGAGCGAAGGAGAAAGACGACACGGGGCAAAATATCGTCGGGAATATACGATAGAATAATTTATGCATTATCACTCGGTTTTGTTAAAGGAATATCCAGATAGACGATCATATAAATTACTCAGGTTTTCGCTAAAGAATACAATGTCTACCGCAAATATTGTCTTGAAAAGATAAAGATAGATCTCAATATATTGTTTGCCAAATCAATTCGATTTAATAAATTAGAATTAAAATGCTTAATAAAAGTTTAATTAAAAAATATATAAGTTAATTAAAAAATAGTGACTTAAATACTATAATAATAACTTCTAGTTTTGTTGAAAAAAATTTGTAATAAAGTATTAATATATTTTTCAAATGATTATTCATATCTATATGACACATTACAGATGTATGTACGGGGTATATATATTTAGGATTTTAAGATTATTCGAATATTATGCAACTAATCGCTGTTTCATTCAGAAAATAAGACTTATATGCAAAACTTAATAATGCCTTAATGCAGCAAATCTCCGTTTCTCCTGTATGAAACTTTATTTCACTGGTCGTTAAGTCGTCCAGAACAATCCTTCGGTTTATAACTTTATAATCATTCTAGAGAGAATCGCCGAGAAGCGAAACGTTTCCCGCTACACCTGCTAGCGCGCTGTAAGCGCTCTAAGCGCGAGTTGCCGCACGTGGAGTAACAATGCGGGATGCGGAAACTTTCGCGCGTAATCGTCGAATTTGCACATAAATCGGCGAAGGATGTCACGCTCGCGCGCCCAGCGCGATTTATCCCACCTACAGGCAATTATTCACGCGCTTACACGAGGCGACGCGATGCAAGCTTTCCGGACAGAAATTAATTTCGCGATAAAAATCTGTGGGACTCGTAAAAAATTTTTACGGATTATTCCTGCCGCTGCCTCGAACCACGCAAACAACGTATCTCCCGCGACAATACGATTGCAAATCGCGAGCGATCGTAAAGCTCGACGTATATCATCGGTATTTAAACAGGGAGAGAAGCCAAAAGCCTCAGGGAAAGGGAGAAAAGGTAAATCAACGCGAGATGGAGGAGGAAGAGGAGAGAAAACAATAACTGCCAATATCACCATCCGGAGGACATTTACGTCCAATTATTCAATTTAATTAACCGCCGTCATTAACCACCTCGGCCTTTAGCGATTTGCGATGAGAGAGAGCACGTAACGGCGTGGAATCTCTTCTCGCACGATCAAAGATCAGCTGCGGTCACAACTTTCGCTTTTATGGCGAAACTTTGGATTTCGTTGGCCGCGTAAAACGTCTACGTGGTTCTCAACGTGAACAAAGTTTACGGATGCTTTAGTAAAGGTTACATAGAATCGCATTTGGTTGTTTTTCGACAAACTTAAAATTAACTCTATTTGCGCAAATTTAAATCAGGTTTCGTAACAAAATTTAAATCTGTATCTTAAAAAAGCATATCTACAAAAGTCAACAGAAAAGATCACGTTCAATACAATTTTTTACAAGAAATAATAATTGTCTACATACATTAATTGACAAAGTACAATTTAACTAAGAATTCCAATCAAAAAAATTCAAGACACGATATATAAGAAACTGTTCCATTATATTTTATATCGTATATGATATATAAAATAATAAGATATAATAAATATAATAACAAGAATATTTAATTATTTATCTCCAGAAAACTGACAAGTATTAAGAATTATACAGCATTTATGTGCGAAGTATACAGAATTTATGTGCCCTGATGATAACATGCATATCGTATCGTAATTATTGTTACGTAATTATTGTTATCGCGAGGCAATGGACAGAGTGAGAATAAATGAACATTTCTTATCTGCGAATTGATGCAATAGAATACAAGATTACTGTTAATGCAATTCCGAATTAAGATTCGATTCATGTCATTAAAAATGCACGAACATTACGAGCCCCGTTAAGACGTGAAAAACAAGGAGTGAATCGTGTCATTGCGATCGCTTTCGCATCCCTTTCGCCGCGAGCAGTCCTGAAATTTTTTACACCACGCGCACGTAAATCCCGGCGAATTTAATACTCGTCTTAACGTCCGCGAGCGGTATGCAGATTTACGACGGCAATTTATTACACATTTTAAAGCCGATGACGCGGAAAACGCGAGAGGAGGGCGCATCGAAAGCAGGCGGCGAATTCGCGAGAGATCGAAGCGGATTATCGCGTTAGATCCCGTTATCTCGATCTATAATCAGCGACACTCGATCGATTTTCGGAAGAAATCGCATCTTCGATGATTGGTGTACGAAAGAAGGAAAGAAAAAGGAGCACGACGTAAAACGGAAAGAAGAATTCGTCGTCGAAACGAATGAACGAGCGAACGATATCGTAGTGAATCGACCGATTCGAAATCCTGTAACCGGGCGACGTGGTAGCTTCGGCAAGACGGTGACGGCAACGGAAAGGGGAAGGGGAAAGACGAAGTCGCGTATTAAAATCGGCATAAAACGTTATTATCCGACGGCGTAATTCCGCGGTACTCGATGGTAAGCCCCGGACTCGAGAACCGCGGACTCGCAGTCGCCGGCATGGAAACTTCAAGTGAGAGGGTGAATTCCGTGCCCGAAGTTCGAGAGATAATGCACTCCCCCAACCCCCTTTCCTCTCTTCCTCTAGACTAGCCCCGGCGATTTGCCCGCGCCGCTTACCTCCTTCCGTCGCCGCGTTCTCCACCACCTAGGACCAAGAGCGAAGAATTCAATATCAAATTCTTTTAAAAAGAACCCGTGCCCATCGAGGAAGGGATGGAGAACGCCGCGAGGAAAGCAAGAAGATATTGCTGCATTCCTATGGTACATAATGAGCTGTGAAATTTCGAGAAGGTCACCGTCAGCAGTCCGCTATCGGCCGCAGGAATTATATTCCTTGAATCCCAACATTGGGACGGACGTTGCGAGAATTTGGACTTTGAAAAAGAAATAGATGGAGAAATACTTCTTTCTGCGTGCGACTGAAAATCGTGGGGATGCAATAAATTGCGTCTCGCAATCAAAAATCTTCATATATACCTTAGATTTATAATTTATATCGAATATCGACGTCTCTCACTTTTTACGAGCAAAATGCTTACGCGGAAGACAGAAATATCTAGTGACGGCGACAAGTACCGGATTTTTATATTGCTCATAACAACACCGTATAGTATCTTAACTTCGATATCTATAGCAGAAAGACAACGGAAAATGGCACTTAACATCGTTCTTCGCAGAGAACGGATGAATCCTCGATTCTCGACGGGAATAAACAGCCGAATAGCCGAGGCTGAATAGTGTTTATGAACGTAGCATAAACAATCCGATATCGAGACGGTGAAATTGAGTAATGAAATCCTACGTCAAGAAATAAAAATATGCAAAACTGAACAGCGCTACGATTGGACAGTAGGTGGTAACACGAAGACGGTGGCTACAACTATAACACACTATGGCTGACCATTCGAATGGCCTTGACTCTTGCCTTCTCTCCTTCTTTCTGGCGAAATTAATCGAAGACGCAAATCATAAATCATACGCGTTTTAACTCCACCCACTAGCCGTACGATCTAACACCTGGTACGTAAAGAGCTCCTCCAGCTACCGAGATCGTAAACCGTTTTCCGGAACACAAACCACTACCACTGGAATATCACTATCTCCCAGTGCTTACCGGTATGCCGTAAACCATTCCGTTGGTGAGCGTCTTTAAGACTTTGTGCGGCTTCCTTTCCCTATGATCTGACGCGAAAAGATACGGCATCGGATCTTGATTACGGTTTAAAACTTTTCACTATACGCGAGATTAAGCGGGGATTAAACTTCTTCCGATGGAAACATTTATGTGCGATAAATAAACGATAATGTTTAATGTCAAATGTTCAATGTTAAATTAATTAATGTAAATGTTGTATTAATGTGATACATTATTGACAGCGATGATTATTCAGTCATTAATTTTAAAGAGTTGAAAAATAATGATGACTTTAGACTTTTTTGTTTCGTATTTTCTTTTACAAATTTCTTCCTTTTTATCCTTGGAATAACAAATTGCTCATAAATTATTATCGACGATCGACCTATATATATATATATATATATACACGCATATCAGATGCAACTAGACTGTCCAATTTATTCTTACAATCGTTGTCCTATTCACATCCAAAGTCGACCGTCGGACAAGAGAACACAGATAGAGTTTCTTCCAGTACGCACGTAGATCCCGACGGCATGCATTATGCATATCGCACCGGTCGTCGTTGATTGAGATTCGTACCGAGGCTACTACCGGTTTTACTTCCGCACGAAAAATTAGTATATTTTTAACGCATCGTCAAGCAAGTCGGCTGTCGTAGTCGTGCAGTGCACGCCTCGGTCCAAAAAATGAAAATTTATAATTATAGTTATGCGTTCTTGATATTTGATTTGTTTTACTTACCAATAGGGTCTTAAGATTCTTTGTGAACTATTACGAATATCGTGAGGAAAAGAGTTTCAAGGAATTTTGCCATTACCTGCAACAGAAGAAAAATTCTTGGTTAATAAAAAAATTGGTTAGTAAAACATTCAATGACAGACCGTACAGAATAAAATAATAGTTAAAATAAACGTAAAAAACTTTTTATTTTTTACAATATCATTAAAAGTTTTACGACATAATTAGTTTTATTTGTTCATATTGTATAAAATAAAAGTTAAAATATTTTCGAAAATTATTCAAAAGAATATTTAAAACAATTTTTATCTAAGATGTTCCTATTTTTAACACTAACAATCTTTTGACGCGTGTTAAGCCTTCAAAACTTTTTAACAAATGCAGTTTTAATATTAAAATGACTAACGGGACAAACTTAATATTTTAACTAGATTTGAATACTGGAACGACAGGGAAAAAATATCGCGGATATTAAAATTGGTTACATCAACGTCACTTAGTGTTAACTAATTTGATATTCTCTTTTTGTCTTGTACGAGAGATAGATGTACAATCTGGAAAGGGAGAACAAATCGCTATCTCGAGTCTCGAGTTAATTAAACCAGACTGTTAGTGCAACTCAATCCCGGCATTAATGTATATAATAGCTAACAGAAACGCGTTGCATTTCGCCTGATCGCCCAATCTGCTTGAGAGTTCCATCACGTTGTTTAAACGCGAGCTTAATTCTAGTGAAACGATATGCGTATGGCGGGCATCTTTCATTATTTCAAGCAGACCAGGCGGCCACTTCAATCGACTGTAATTCTTGCGCAATTATTTGTCCTATTAACACCACGTATATATACAGATTGTCAGCATACAAACCTTATAATACGTTTTGTAATTTTTTATTTAAAATTGGATTAGCGCTCATGGAGGTGGACAGATAAAGAAAGTTGTTTTGCTTCGTGATTATTAATTTTAAATATGTTTAATATACAGGTAGATGTAACTACAATTATGATTGCCCGTTGCGATCAGTGTCCCGCTGTTTACCAACTCTTCTCACATTCGCGTTTCCCTCAAGTTACATTTTCGTTTTGTCCGGAAACATCCTTCTTTCTCTCTCACGCCATCAGCACGACGTTTATGCGACCTTTACGCGAACTTTGCCTTCCATCTTCCCTATCTTTCTCTCCCCGTGGCTCTCTCCATCCCTTTCGGTTTCTCGCTTCAGCTCTTACGTTTATTTCATTCTATGCTTCCTCCACCCTCTCGCGGCAACTCCGGAGCCACCCTCGCCGTCGACATCAACAAACATCTTGATTATACCGTGAAAGCCACCTCGACTACGAGTCCTGACTAGAAGCTGGAAGACTCGCTACCATCGGAGCTGCCGAGAGGTTCCGTTCTTTCCCCTCCCCTACCGCACACTTCTCTTAACTTCCCCCTCGAGCTTTATACTCTCTTTCGCGCTGCCCTTCCTTGTCGCCCTCACCTTCGTAACTATGGAGAGCATACGAATACTGGAAGCTGCCTGGTAGTCTGGTAGTATTTGCATGCGAAATTAATGCCTTTCTATTTCGGTCCGAATTAAATGCAAGTTTGCATAAAGAAACGGCGATTTATTCGTTTATTCTTTGGGGGTGAACGGGAAAGGGGCGGAGGTGGCAGGCCGAGGCGAAAAGGGGATGAATCACCGCGGCCCTCTATCCATCCGAATCGAGTCTTCCAAACCCTCTCGCAATCAGAATGAACGGCACAGTCGTTCCTCTTGCCTTTCTTCCCTCCGATCGTGCACTTCTCCCTTCGAGCGACACGTCGCTCTGCTTTCTTTCCCTTGAAGAAACGGCAAGAACAAGTAAAGAGACTCGAGGGCGCGGATGTACGGCACCTGCCCGCGTTTATATCATTTTATCCTCCACCAACGGACTGGCGACGATCAAACGACGACTTCGTAAACGACGTTAGATCTCTTTTTCGTTACGCTTCGGCTGACTCCTTGTTACTCCTTGTGCCGAGATCATCCTGGTATATTATTCAAACACACGGCAGATACTTACAGAAAAGTACATACTGTATGCAAATATAATTTATTATTGTATATTACTTGTTTCAATTTTTTCGAAAGTTTATATATCTGTAAATCTATCATAAGTTTATCAAGCATCAGATTTATTCAAAATATATTCTGAATGCTACTAAGCTTATTATTTCTCTCAATCAAGATTATTAAATTAAAACTAATTCAATTTGCTTATTATATAAAGTTACTTCTTCGATAAATTTTATAATTTAAATGTTTGTTTTACATAGTGAGTTTTTCTAAAATTATAATGAGTATATTTGACATTATTAAAATAATATAATAATAAGATTATTATCATTTCGTTTGTTGCAAATTCAAAAGTAATATAGACGCGTATTACATATCTCAGATAAATATATTTAAAATACATATAAAAATATAATTCCAACATCTGATTCTGACTGCAATTGGCGCTTCTCTTAATTAAAATAGTATAGATTAATTTTAGATTAACTTTCGACAAAATGATTTTTTAAACCCCAAGTTTACTTTTCTCTTTCTCAAATTCTCTGGTCTATAAAATGATATTACTGCGACGTTGTTGAATCATGTGTTTCGTCATGTCGTTAAAGTGTCACAGCTGTATGTTTTACGAGTTTAATAAAAATTAGAATGGTATCAGCAGTAGTAGAAAAAAAAGAAGTCACGCTGATGGTGAATGGTAGTCGTTGAGCGATACATGCGACCAGAAAACGACCTGCAAGCATACCTAAGCGCAACTACTGGCAATATATTACAAAGCTTCGTTACTTTTGTTTCATTTTCCATCGTTAACGTGGGTATATGCACATCCGTACTAACGCGTGGACGCCCATTTAGGATAATGGTATGTGCGAAAGGACAAATTTTCTCTTGAATCGCTACGAAAAAGAGTAACAACTTCGTAATGAAGTATGGAGTAATGATGCGATTTTTTGTGGTCAGAAAAATATTTATGATGATCTTTTCGATTTGATATCTGCTGATTTTGATATAAAAAAAATGTCTATATAGAAATCGAAACCATTTATTATATAAATATACTGATTTTAATATGAATATAAGATCAATATAAATTTCTATAAAATAATTACACATATCTTTAATAATTAATATATATAATGTATAAATAATTTTTTTGTAATTTAATAAAGTAATAAGATGACTGTCTTTTTATTAAAATAATTTACTTTCTAAAATTTTGGAGAATATTTCCATGATATCGAATATCATGGTGAATAATATTCATGAATTGTTGCGCAAATCAATAATATTTGATAACGCCACAAATTTTTGCACGTGTCACGATTTTATTCTGTGTTCTCGCATGTATCTGATAATCGATAATATTGACGGCAGAGAGTAGTTGAAGAGAAACGGGGTGGAGGATACGAATTACCTTATAAATCGCGCTATCCGGCGTTTAAAAAGGTGAATATTTTGTAGAGCAAACACCGATAAGGGACTACCATCGTTGCTTAAATTCGTTGGAAGCACTTTCCAATGGGCGAGAAGAGCGAGCATACAATTACTTTGCTGCATGGAGAGCTTACTTTTCATTCTTAGGAACCAACCATTCGCTATTCTCGACGTGACCTATCTCTGTTCGTAATATCGTTACTCATCATCCTTAATGCACGCTTGGCACACACCATCGTACACGAAGTAACTATTCAGACAAAAGATAGTCAAAGAATGCGTCCCTCAGCAGTTAATCGCCCCCGCGAATTACATTTCATAGGTTCAAAAGAATTTTATGGTTACTCTTGCCGAGAGGGTGCCGCGGGGAACGATAATGGTGAAACTTGGAGAGGATTCTTAAGCCAACTGCATCTTATATACTTCATACGAAGGTAGCTCGTTAAGTAATTTATTTACATTAACTTCTGAATACCTGGAAATTTTATGGAAAATGTTATCTTAAATAAACGTTTATCGCTTCAAAGTTTCACACGACTTGGCACATCGATTTCAAATAAATAGAGAGAAAAGTTGAGAGAAATTCACTCGTCGCGAAAATTAATTTCTTATTTGCAAAATATTAACTGTTGATTTTATTTTGTCTTTTATTTTTTACATTGCTCATTATTCACAAAATTTTTAAGTAATAAATGAAGTAAAATATCTTTTATAGTAACACACAAACACTTTTCTCTCTTTCAAATTTTCCAATAAAAATTAAAATAATTTAAAGTGAATTTCTCTCGTCACTCCATGAAAAGTCAATTCTGCAAAGTAGATCTCCGAAAATTCCTTGCAGTTCACCTATCTCTCGCACAAATATCGTTTATCGCTAGAGTGATTTAAATTTTAATAATACTCTGGGTTAGTCGATAAATCTACCGTTGACGCGACGTGTCAAATTGCAAAAATACAAGACAAAGTTCCATCGGTGTACGTCCAGTAGCGCTCGTAACACGCGGTCGTTATCGTCGCAGTTACGCGTGTGATCTCCACGACATAACGACGGATTTTTATTACCGCACGTGCATCACCGTTATACACGTAACGTGTTGTCGCCCACGAAAATTATTGCTGCAAGTTAGACTACGTAAACATTAGAGCGAGCTCCGATATGGTTTTTTTCTTTTAATCAATTTTTAATTAATTTACTACGATATTAATTGCGGACTGCCCTCGTTGAGAGTGCTCTGAAATCGTATAGTATTGTATTATAAATTGCTACAGATATGTATATCGATAGGAATGTATTTTACGCGTTAATAAAAATTTAAAATGTACGTTAGTTAAACGTATAATTCCAGTGCTCGTCATAAAATACATATTAAAAAATAGTGGATCAGAATCCTTATAGGATTGAAATGATTATCATCATTTTGTAGCAATAAAGCTTGTTCGTGAGTCTCAATTAAATCCAGAGATTATTATGTATATCATATACTCTCGCTCCCGCCCTTTCGATCATAAGGCACTCGCATATATCTCGCTTATCTTGCTGCATCGAACTTGTGCACGCACATGCACGTGCATCGTTACAATGTTAAGCGTAGAAACCTCTCGCGTGTACT